TGGTGTGTGAAGAATCTGTTGCTAGAAAGACGACAGTGGCTGCGCTCTTCTGTGGTCTCCATTTCTGCTGTGCAACCCAATCAAAGAGGTTCTCACACTAGAGATCAATAATCTGGAGAACCTATTTAATCAAAAACACATGATCTGTTTGCACAGAAGAAGACATGGATGCTGTGACATTTAGGCATAAAAGCAGACTGACAAATTGAATGGTTGAAGTTGTTGCTGAGCAGCTCTTCTAAAGTCTAGAACTGATTAGTTAGTTCACTGTTTAGTCGTTCAACAGGAAATGAACAATCAGAATCAGTAATTTAATCATTTATGTCATCCAAAGGATGACAGCTTTCCCACTGGTAACCTCCACAGCTGAAGAGAAAACTATTCTTTTTCTTAATGTCAAAACTAAGTCTCAAAATCTGCAGTTTCTCAAGTGGCCACTTGAGGCAGGCGAAAACAAACCAGCCAATCCTGATGGACTCTCCATTCCAGCCAAAGACAATAAACCCACTTTGGGGTTGGATCAGGAGGGCATCCAGGGTAAAAAGCATACCAAATCAAGCATGTGGTGCTGCCTGCTGTGGCTAGGGAGCAGCTGAAACATAGCTAGTAATTGCAGAATTAAATAATTTCTTAAACTGAAAAGAGTTTAGATAATTTTGTGTGGTGTACATTAAAAAAACACCGCAGTTTTAGCTGTGAAGGAGTATCTACACTTACACTGCACACACACGGTCCTGTGTTCATGTGTTCACCTGCCTGAACTCAGTTTGTTACCTGCAGGACTCCACGAGCTGCAGGCTGCATCTGCTTCTTGTTTCAGGCCCAGGGCTGCTCTGACCTGGGCCAGCACAAGTCTGTGGCCCATAAATCCTCTTATATGCGCCACACGCAACATGTGAGCATGCTCACACACAAATACACACGTATGCACATGCAGCATATGTAAACACAGACACAGATTAATCCTTTGTGGGCTGTGTAAAAATAGCTTCAGCAGTGAGCGTCCTCTCTTGCAGCAGATGTGTCTGCTGAGTGTTATGTATGCATGTCCCGACAGCACACGAGCTCCAGGACCCACGAGACACACGTTTGTTTCCTACCCAGTCCCCATCCGTGTGAGGGTAGGAGAGGTGAGAAGGGGACAGGCTACATGTGGGATTGTGGAGAGCTCAGCAGAGCCATAATGCTAACTGAAAGCTGCAGTCTACACTGATGAGAGAACTGTGGTCCAAACGCACAGCATGGAGTTCACTTCTCCAGAGAGCTCCAGTGAGACTGGTCAACATCACTTATGCCTCAACAGAGTGGAGCTGAAGGAACAAGAGACTCGGGCCAGTTTTCTTTTGACATCGCCGTCATTTGAAAGCTTGGATGAGTTTTTAAGGATTTCTGTTTCCAGAAGTACAGCTCCTGTTCATTTATTCCACAGACATGTGACTGAGTGCCGGAGCACCTCAGATGACTGAATGGACACGTAACTCTCTTCAAATAATATTTATTTGATAGAAAAGTGAAATTATTTGTTTTTTAGTAGAAAAGGAACAAAAATTAACTGTAACTCTCAATTTGGCACAAAGCATCCACATATAAAATCATATTACTGTATAATGACTTTAAAACATGTAAATAATTTAACTTTTAGACTATAGCGCGGTGAGAAAATATCCTGATTTTTGCATTCCTGGTATAGACCGGACGTGACATCTGCAGTCCAGTCACAGGTGTGAAAATCAAGTGCCCATATTAGGAATATCCCCTCTCCGTGACATTATACTGACCCAAGAGCAGGAAAAACTACCTGAAACAGACTGACCTTCGTATCTGAATCCTCGGCCATGTTCAACATAAGCATCTGGCATTGTTAATGACAGAAAACAAGGAAATCCATAATAGGTCTGCTTTAAATCTTCTATGCGGTAAACATAGGAAACACTGACACACACACAGACCGGGTACCACTCACCAGGCAGCGTCCGTTCACACACACTGCTCCTGAGTCCTTGTCGCAGGCTGTGCCGTCAAGCACTCGGCCAAAGTTGAAGTAGAAGTTGTGACCCAAGGCCAAGCAGCTGAGTTCACAGGGGTTAGAGCCTGGCAGGGAAGATATTCAGTCAGTGGCTCATTATAATATTATGGGAAAATAGGTGAAGCAGAAAGGCAGCGGGAGGTGACTGAACAGCAAAAACAACCAGAACATGGAGAAAGAGAGCAAACTGAACAAACAGCAACAAAGTCCTGGGATTTAACTTCCAGTAGGCCACAGCAGGACGTGCGAGCTACACGGCTGCCACAAACACACAAACTACAGCTCCGTACAGCTGCCGAGCTTTTTTATTGTTTAGCTACAGTCTGTATGGGCCTTAAAAAACACAGTCTCTGCACATCCACGAGCTATACATCTGAGTCCCTGGAAAACAGAAAAAAGTGCTGTTTTATATGGACACATCAGCATGCTCATCGAGGCTCTGAATGTTATTGGGGAAGACTTTTTAAATTCATCTGCAGACATTTTGCTGTAGTTTGTTATATTCTACACAGATTAAGCCCAAAAGACACATTAGGATATACTTTTCAGCTCACTGTGGATTTTTGATACGCACTAACTTGTCTGATGGGTTTTTGAAGATTTGTGGTTTGTTATGTATGATTAACGAAGAAGGGAACATAAATCTATTGACACAGTCAAACTGTGGGAAACTGACTTCCTTTTGCGCCCAATTGATGAGTCCCCTTACAGTAAACCATTTCATTTTACAGTCGTAGTTTAAATTCAGTGTTAGGACCGAGCAGGCTGCTTATGGTGTTAGTGTGGTGCCATCTGTCCCATCACGATGCCCACAAGTAGTAGAAAAACTGTATTTCAAATATATCTGGTCTAAAAGCCACGAGTGCCCAGGAATTGCTTTACTGGTGTGCAGGGTTTTTTGTGTTTTCTAGTTTTAAAACGTGCTTCTGAAGACAACATAGAAAAAAGTCTCTCTTTCAATCCGTGTTAGATATCACTCTGTTAGAGTGATATCTAACACTGTTAGATATTCTCCTCAGAGGCCTGTAGATCGAATAGGAACGTTCGCTGGCTTTCAAGGAAGCATCTTTTGAAAGAAAACCATTTTTCCTGGTGATTAAATGATGCCTGCAGAGAGTAAACTGTGGGCTTAGAAATTTTTCATACATATATAAAAACCACACATTGCATAAATGAGCCATCTGTCTCAGCTTTCATATGGTGAATCTATAACAAGCCACGTGGGACTAGTTACATCCAAAACTGATCTCTTCACTGCACAACAAAAACAACAACATATACTGAAGAAGTCTTAAGTAGGAAGAGGGTGAATCATCTCACTGACCTCCATGAAAGGTGATCCATCTGAAGGAGTTGCCAGCCACCAGCGGCCTGTCATTAAAGGCAGCACACTGCATCTCTCGGAAATCCTCCGAGCCAGGGGGACAGTCCTGCACACACACAGACACACAGCATCAACACCCTGACGTCCTTGAGGATTAACCTTTGTTACGACCATGCCATACAATATAGGCTTCACATCGAAGGAACCTTCTACCTGATTTTGAACTCTCTCAGTGAAACCGTTTTGATTGCTACACTGTAACAATTACTCTGCATACAGAGACACATTATTGCTTTATCATGAAGCGCAAACAGTGGCAGGACCGCCGCCGCGGTGCAGACGCAGGTTAATCTGTCAGTGAAATCCCAGATCACACCCTGAAAGTCGCTGATCATTATACCCTGGACATTCCTTCACGAGCAAACGTTAGCCATTGCTCTACAGTGTTTGCATAAAATGTGTGTGTGTATTTTTAAAATAAAGACCAAAAGCCTTTTTGTTGAAAGGACCTTGGTGTTGCAGATCTTGTACTGTCTGGGATCTCCTGCACATGGTCCACCCACTGGGTTCCTGGGACAGAAATAAAAGAGATGTATAGGATTAGGTAAGGGAACAGTAGGAAACACTGTGGCTTAAAAATGTTAAAATATAAATTTCATATCCCTTCAAAAATCTCTGTGAAGGTTTTTCTGGAAAAAAAAGTCTGACTGAAACGTCGTCGCATAAAATTTGGAAAACTGTCCGTATTTTCTCCCGTGCTAACCTTGTGATGCAGGTGCGTGACCTCACAGATGCTCCGCCCCCACAGGTGCGTGAGCACACAGACCAGCCGCTCCATGTTGCCCACTCATTTCTGAAGTGCAGCTGCCTCCGTGTGCGAGCTGGACGCACCGATGAATCGTCGCTGTTAGGACCCCACGCCGAAATCCAAGAGGGCTGGAAAAAAAGCATAAAACAGAGAGACAATTACAAAGACAACTTTAAGAACAGGTAACACAAACATGAGAGCAGGACACTGGGAGAAGACCAGGTAGACACCAAATGAGTGTACACGCTGAAACCTTTTATCAAATGTAGATGGAGTATTTGTATTGGAAGCATCAGGTTTCTATCATATCTCTCTGCAGTTATTTAGGTCACAAGAGTCACAGTAACAGATGCTAGTGTTGCAGTAACACATGTTGCACCTATGTATGTATTCTGTGGTAGGGCTGTTCGATATAACGATATATATCGGATGATGATATAAAAACATCTATCGTTTCATTTTACGATATCGTTTGTTTCGTGGTGTCGCAAAATAAACTGTTTACGGCAATATTTTATCAACATTTTAATGGTCACTGTAGTGGCTATATTAATTTATTAAAGTTCTCTCTTTCTCTTATATTTAATATAACCACACTACGGACGGACAAGCGCCTGTTTTTATGCGTTGTGGTTAACAACAACGATGGTAACACCATCGCATGTCCGCTTGTTTATGTTCCACATAAACCTTTCACAATAAAGCTCAAGATTCTGTTGAGACTTTTCAAAATAAACTGAATCACGTGAAAGAGCAGAGTATTTACGGATGAGAAGTAAAAAAGAGCCGCCAGGTGCTAAAAAATAGTCCTTAGACTCAAACGTTAGAACAGGCTTTTCCCCGCAGCACGCCGTGTAATAAATACTCACAAAGAAAACGGCGGCCGTTACAACTTATGTCTAAAAATGTATCATTTCATGCATCAGTTAAAACACTCGACTCCAGCTACATGACGCCCAGCTGGAAACACTTCCCGCAATACGAGCTGCCCGAGATTCACAGAATTTACAGAAAATGTTACATTTTTGTGATTTATATCGTTATCGGGACGATAGAATTCTTATTTTGGGATATGAGATTTTGGTCATATCGCACAGCCCTATTCTGTGGTTATAACCAGAGATTTTTCTTTAGTTCACAGTATCTGCAAAGAAGTTTAACTATAGTTGTGGCACTAATCTACAGGCACAGGCATTCTTTATCTATGCATTGGCTGTTTAGAGCTTTGTGTGCTATTTTCTTCCATGACATGCTTCTTTCATTCTAAAAATGCTCCATTTACACATGTAGTCTTAGTCTGAGCATTTATGCAAACGTCAATGTCAATGAATATTTATTATCAGAAACTGTTGGTGCCCAGAGGTTGAACACTGACTTTCCTAGCCACAAACAGGTTTCCATCCTATTTTTATTCCTCTGTGACTGGCTCACAATCATCCTGATCCATGTGCTACTGTGTTATGTTTTTTTAATATGAGCTTTCTTTGAACAACTGCCACTCTACAGTCACACATGTTTAAGTTCTTACTGAGAGATTGAAAGTGCAGAAACAACACGACTCCCTGCTCTGTTGTTACTGTGCTCTGCTCTGCAATCACTCTGCAGCATCACTCTGCACTCATGTCCTGCATGTTCAAAGCTGTTAGGTGGCAACTGGCCACTGTCAGCAACTCCCAGTCATTTGTGTCGTGCGTAAGGGAGAAAGCAGAGAATGATGAAATATCATTTGTGGGAGGGAAAATCCTGGAGCCAGATAAATCTATTTAAAGAGCAGACATATGAAGAACAACAGTCAACCTTGTGAGCCTGGTGGATCAGGATCAGCGGAACAATAAAAGTGATTAGAGAAACCTCAGTGCTGCTCCTCAAACACATTCCAAAGTTTCTGCCCTGGAGGAGGACTGAAACTGGCAGCGTTCCCACTGGTTGCTCATACTGCACACACACATTTAACTCTCTACACACATGCAACAGCTGCAGCAGACTCGCTGTCATGGATGGCTGAAGCCACAGACAACAAGTACACAAAACATGTCAGACGGAAAGTTGGTTACATGTATTTAAACTGATTTATATCTACAATACTTAAACAACACAGAAGATTACATTTGAAATAAATCCAAAAGAGGCAGCATGTGCAGTGAGAGAGACAAGCTGAAGAAAAATGATTTCAAACAGTTATCTAATAAAGACTTTATGCCAGCATGCTGACGATTTGTTACGTCCTGAGGCAATCCATGGGAAAGCTAAAGGTAAGCTTCCGCGTCCCCATGACACGTGCCCGATTGTGGATGGAATCCAATAGAAGGATGCTGCCGGCGGTAGCTCACGTTCCAGCCATGTATTCCAGCCCTAACCCTAACCTTATGCCTAACCTTGTGTGTTTTCCAAAGCAATTCATGATGAGAAAGTAAAATAAATGTACATTGTAGATTCAGTCCAAATGGTTCTCATGTTTCCTTCTGTTTCAAACGCATAACATAGGAACGTGTTGGGGGCTGAAAGCGTAGTAAAAGCATCATATAGATTTAAATCAAATATTCTTCATTTAATGATCTGGCTCTAATTTAACAGTTGCAACAGGTTATGTGGCGAACAGGATGATTATTACAACCTCAGCGTGCTACTCTTCACTGTCATAACATTTTAAATGGTGTCAGCATTGCAACAAAACAACACGTTTACTGAGTTTTACTGCAACAACAACAAAAATGGATGTTCACAAATGAAACAGAAGACTCTTTGTATGCAGCTGATGTTGCACCACGTCTGTGTCGGTTCATCCAGGTCCTGGTTTAAGTTTAAGAAGCAAGAAATCCAACAGACTTCTTTAGGTTCCGTGAAGACGTTTCACCTCTCATCCAAAAGGGAGTCTTCTTCACTTCTAAAACCAAAGAGTGGCAATGTGATGAAGCTCATGATTAATCAGAACTAGGTTTTAAATACTGCAGACATTTGGTTTACATGACAAAAAGAAAACAATAATGGATTGACCTCCCCAGAGCTTGAACCTCAAGCAAAGAAGATCTTTCGACTGTCCTTCAAGAAGCCTGGTGAAGAAACAAGAAGAAAGCCTGCCTACACGAGTGCAGGCTGTGTTGAAGAACAAAGCTTTCCTGCTCATGAGAAAATGTCAAACTCTGGTTTGGCTGTTATTAAGATAAACTGAATTGGAAAAAGGAGCCAGGCTACTAAACATAGGCTGACACGCGTATAAACCAAGATCACTGATGTTAATTAAATTATAGTCTATAATGTTTGTTTAAAATAATACTGACATTATTTCCTAGTTTTAGTTACGTTTTAGTTAATGAAACAATAAATCATCTACTGTCACGGCTAGCAGGGCAAGCCGTGTGAGTTTTAATAGAGGACCCAAGATGCAGGCAGCTTCAGATGCAAGTGAGCTTTATTAATAAGGATGGACACACAAACCAGAATGTAGCAGGCACAAAACAAAACCTAAGAGAA